CTCCCCGGCTCGGAGGCGATCGGCCAGGCCGCTAGGTCCCGGTCCCGAGCCCAGAGGAGCTGCCCCGCTTGCACGGAACAGCCCGAGCCGGGTCACCTGCGGGCCGCTTCATTCCCCACACCAACGGAGCAGGTAAATTTAATGCCGGATTTCCCCAAAGGCACACTCGGCAATCCCGAGCAGTGCCGGGCACGGGCCTCCTCCCGGCCTTGAGCGGGGTCGAGCGGGCGCAGCTGGGCCCGGAGCCTCCCTCACAGCGCTGCAGCGGCCCGGTCTCCGTGTGCTGCCGTGTGCCCGGCCCCGCCGCCTGCCCAGCCTCGCTTTCTGCGGCTTTTGAAGGAGATCAGTGTTCCCTCGAGAGCGGGACTGGAGAGGATCCTGTGTGTCCCATTCTCTCCGCGCTATGCGCCTGCATGTGGCTGCGCTGTACAGGCCGCGGCCTCCCCAGGAGCCTCCGTCCCAAACTTCACTTGGTGAGGATGCACAGAATTCCTCTTGCTGCCACCACTCTCAGTACGCAGAAGAGATGTGTCTATCCCTTCTTGCAAACACCCAGCTGCGCTTGGGCAGCCCCATGGGCATTCAGCTCTCCTGGTCCTGAAGGTCCCCTTGAAAGGATGAGCCAAGCCCGCTGGAGCAGGTGCGAGCTTAAAATTGCTCCAGAAACATCTGCAGGGAAAATGAATCAAACATAGTGATGGCTGGAGGAAAAAAAAATTCAATTCTTAGTTCTGAGTGTTTTAGTAAAACAGAAATTTGTGACAGTGAATTCCTCAGAAAGGGTTTGAGAGATTTCTTGCAATTAAAAGTAATTGACAAGGATGCAGAAGGAAACAAAAATGACAGTGCACAAAAACCCCATGTTTTTGTTTCACACAGTGCAGGTGTGAACTTCTGTTTCATGAGCAAATGGAAGGCCAGCAGAGTCAGCTGGCACACTCCAGTGTTCTCTCAGGAGAATGGATTCTGTAATTAAAACAGGGAAACATTCATTTACAGATTACAAAGTACACTTTATCAATTGAAAAAAAAAATCCTAAATTGTTTTTATATACAGTCAGTATTTTCTAAAATTATATGTCTTGGTTTCAATGCAGTGCCTTACAGGGCTGCTTCCACAGGGAGCTGCAGCACTGCCTAAGCAATGAAAACACTCTTAAGAACTCTGAGCAAAATCCTGGTCCAGAGGAAAAGCCTCAAGTCTATGACGGGAGTGAGTTTTAGGTGTTTCAGAGTGGAGAGTAAAATGTCCCTGACTGTACCCAACTGTCCAAATTCAGCTTGTTCTATTCAGATGAACCCATTTCCAGAAATGGGACAAACACAGAGCTGGGAGATACATCATCTTCTTTTGCCTGCTGGGTGAAATATGATGTGGAATAAAAGTTGGTAAGCAGTTTATGCTCAGAATATTCAAGAGGCCTTGTCTGACTCCAAAGTCAAAGACTTCGAAAACTTCTGTTTCAGCAGAAACAGGAATAGGCCATGAACATTTCAAATAAAAAGTCAGGGCTGCATGAAACAGCAGAAGGATAACCAAGAAAGTGTAAGCAGAAGTGTATCACTAAGTTTGTAATTTAATAACAATATCCACACCTCTCTCCTCTTTAAAACATTCTCACATTTTATAATCATTCTGAAATTAAGGCCTAACTACATATTAAAAAAAAAATTAAATCAGAACATTTAGGATCAGATTCCATTCCTAATTACTGTAATTAACGAACAAGTCCCCACAATTTAAGGACTGGTTTGCTCAGTTTTGTTGGTTTTTTTTTTAACATAGACCCCTTTTATTTAAGTTAGGGACTTTTAAATCTTCTATTTTTTACATGGAAACCTAAATTCCTGTTCAAATTATTTTAATATAGTATAAAGTGAAGTTCCCAGCCTTATAAAAAAAGACATAACTTTGTCTTTTTATTTTGCCTCCCCGTTTGAAGACAAATTAAATGTTTAGAACTTGATCATCCCCAAACGAGCACAAATGCTTATTTCCACATTCATATCAGCAGTGATATAAGTGAATATTTAATACAAAGTATTTCAAATATTAAAACTTGTTGCTGAAGTTCCATGAACCAGGGAGCTGATTAGCTTAGAGAGGAAGGATGTGTGTTGCACACTGTGGCTCCCTGAAGCAGCGCTGTCAACTCTTGAGGGTGCTATTCTT